CTGTATCCACCTGCTCCACCTGTCGTGCTCTACGGTGCCGAGGAGGTTTTACCACGGGGATATCGTGGAGAGACCGGAGCGCCTCTACGTTTCGGGCTGGACCTGTTTCGCCTATCCTATACTGCTGTGCTGAGGAGGATCTTCACCGGGGACATCGCGGAGAGACCGGAGCGCCTCCACGTTTCGGGCCTGCTTGCGCGCCTATCCGGATGCTGTGCTGGTCTGGGAAAATGGCCCCTATCGTGATTCTGCTATGCCCTTTAGCTATTTTGGACAATGAGAAGTTCTCTCGTCATCCTGAGAAGTCGACTGGATTCAGGTCTGTTCTACCGCCCGCAGTGGACATCCCCTGTAAAGGTTTGGATGTGTTACACAAACAATTACTGGTTGCCTTGTCACAGACATCCAGTTCGACAAATTATGTTTGTCTTTCTCACTTGCCTGCTATGATGGTTCTTCAGGACTGCTTCTTGAGCTCAAATCTCACTTTCGCGGAGTTTGCTGGTGATTTTAAAGCAGATGACAATGTATGTGTGTCGATTAAGAGGAAAAGGTGCCTGGTTTTCTTGCTATTATTACTATCAGGGAATGTACAACTTAACCCTGGACCGCCCAGTAGCAGTAGTAGTCAGATAGCTAGTCCTGCTGATTTTAATTCTAGGTCTGGGTTGGGATTCATTCACTTAAATGTGCGCAGTCTGTTACCTAAGTTAGATTTTGTCCGCATTTGGGCGAGCTCGACTGACGCTGATGTCATTGTCTTATCAGAAACGTGGCTAAATAAATCGATTTTGGCCTCTGACATCTACTTAAATGGTTATAGTGTATATCGTACCGACCGTCCTAAAAAAGGTGGTGGCGTTGCCATTTATGTGAAAAATAAGTTTTGTGTAACCAAGATGGTTTCCAAATCAATCAGTAAACAACTAGAATTTTTAGCCTTAAATATCGAAGTAGCAAAGGGTCAACAGGTCATGGTGGTGGGCTTCTACAGACCCCCCTCAGCTGTCAAGGACTCTTTATCTTCATTGGCAAAACTTTTATCTCAACTTGACTACAAGGAAATAGTGCTGCTTGGTGATTTTAATTGGGACTGGTTAACTTCTGTGTCAGAGGATTTAAAAAACCTTTGTATCTCTCTGAATGTTACTCAGATTATAGACAGTCCTACTCGCCCTAACATTAAGTTCCCAAATAAATCCTCCTTAATTGATCTCATCTTAACTAATGTGCCCCATAAATACTCATCTGTGGGAGTATTTGCTAACGATGCGAGTGACCACTGTGTTGTAGCAACAATTAGGGACACAAAAGTCCAAAAGGGTAAACCTCGTATTATCATAAAGAGAGACACTAAACATTTTGTGGAGCAGGGTTTTGTTCATGATCTGTTTGGGTTTGATTGGGAAAAAATCGATCTGTGTGCTGATGTTGAAACTGCATGGTCTTATTTTTATCTTGGTTTTATGGAAATTATAGATAGACATGCACCCCTGCGTAAATTTAGAGTGAAGGGACGAGACAATCCTTGGTTTCCTGCTGAACTGTCCAGTCTCCTGCATGAGAGAAACAAGGCCTGGCAAAGGCTTGGAAATCAGGCTCAGAGATAGAATGGCTACGCTTTAGGCAGCTAAGGAATAGCTTCACATCACAAATAAAAAGTGCTAAATCTAAGTATTATCTGTCAGTTACCACAAACAACCCTAGAAAATTCTGGAAAGCCATAAAATCGTTATCCACCGGTGATATCCGAAATGAGCTACCTCCTTGCCTTACCACAGCATCTGGCTCTATATCGGATAGGGCCACCATACTAAATTGTTTTAATGAGCATTTTGTGTCCTGTGGCTCTCCGTTTGATTCTGTTTCTAACTCTGCTTCTGTGAACACCACAGTCTGTGACTCTGAACAATGTGGTCTGGAAAACCCTTTCAGTTTTACTCCTTTTACTGTTGATGTTGTTCGTGAAGTCTTAACCAAGTTAGATCCTAAAAAGCCAGCTGGCCCGGACAACGTAGAACCTTTCTTTTTAAAGATAGCTGCAGATTTTATTGCTCCACCTCTCACTACTCTTTTTAACCTCTCTCTCAGCACGAACAAAATCCCAAAAATATGGAAGTCAGCGTATGTCCTGCCTCTACTAAAAGGAGGGGAGGCCACCTTATTAAACAATTATAGACCCATCTCCAAATTATCAGTTCTGGCTAAGGTTCTTGAACGCCTAGTGAGTGAGCAGGTAAAGGTGTTTTTATGTAACAATGACATCCTGTCTAAACATCAGTCAGGCTTCAGAAAGCAACATAGCACCATCACTGCCACAATGAAAGTGGTGAATGATATTACGAGTATTTTAGATAATAAGCAGAGTTGTGCAGCTCTATTTGTTGACCTATCCAAAGCTTTTGATACCGTTGATCATCGCATCTTAAAGCAGAGACTGGTCAGTATTGGCTTATCCTGCCATGCAGTGGGGTGGTTTGTGAACTACCTCTCTGAAAGGTCCCAATGTGTTCAGTTTGATGGGCTCACTTCCGAGTGGTTAAACATGACTAATGGTGTACCACAAGGTTCAGTTTTAGGTCCGCTATTATTCTCTATCTATATTAATAGTTTAGGTGAAAATGTCGAAGGAGCAACCTTACATTTTTATGCGGACGATACCATTATGTACTGTGCAGGTCCCTCGATTAACGAGGCTGTTGATAAATTACAGGCTGTTTTTAACATTATTCAGGCTCAGCTCTCTGAGCTTAAGCTTCTTTTAAATGTGGATAAAACCAAGGTAATGCTCTTTTCTAAAGCTAAAAATACACCAGAGACTGCTTTGGATAACTACGCAAGGAATACAACTTGAAGTGGTTGCCTGTTACAAATACCTAGGTATCTGGCTTGATGATTGTCTCACTTTTAAATTTCATGTAAATAACCTGCTTAAAAAACTGAGGGTTAGGATAGGTTTCTTTTACAGAAATAAGTCCTGTTTCTCGCTTGAGGCCAGGAAAAGGCTAGTCACTGTGACCTTTTTACCTGTGCTGGACTATGGTGATTTGTTATATATGAATGCACCTGCCAATTACCTGAGCAAGTTAGATGCTGAGTATCACAGTGCACTGAGATTTTTTACAAATTGTAAAGCACTTACGCATCACTGTACACTGTATACCAAGGCGGTTTTGCCATCACTTACTGTACGGAGGCTCAGTCACTGGTACATGTTCATTTACAAAGCCATGTTGGATAAACTACCATCTTATATCTGCTCCCTGATCTCTCGGCGAATTGAAAGTAGTTATTGCCTGAGATCGCATGCTGTGGTTTTATTAAATGTGCCAAGTGCTAGGACTGTCTTAGGGAAGAAAGCTTTTAGATGTGCAGCTCCACTAACTTGGAACAGTCTGCAAAAAGAATGGAAAATTACCAATCTGGTACCACTACATGTTTTTAAAGCTCGGTTGGATGCTACACAATCAGATGCTGTTGGTACCTGTACATGTGGATAGATATGTAAATTGTAATCCCTGTAATATTTGCTGTATGATGTCCTTTTGTTGTTCTGTTGTTTATGTTTTTATGTCTTCATGTGGAACCTACTGCTGCAGGTCTCCCTTGAAAAAGAGATCATTGATCTCAATGTGATTTCACCTGGATAAATAAAGGTTTTGAATTGAATTGAATTGATTTGTGTTGTTTGTGCTGTACTATACGGTCTGTTTCTTTATTATGTTAAGTGAGAAGTAAAGAAAAGCTGTGCTATGAAAGTTAGCTTTTGCTAACTTTAGATCCATAACAATGCAAGCTAAGTAGCCTAACAGCAGGGACAGTTAGCTACATAGCTAGCAGTGAGTGAGCGTTCAGACACCGGCACACACACTTAAACGGACTCGTGTGCCTGACTCTACCAACATGCTTTCATGATTCTGTTTAGATATACTTATATATGCAAGTATAAGCCATGATAGCTTATTTTATTAACACACTAATTTGATATGAAAATCAATGGAGGCTGAGTTACTACTTCTCTTTGTAGGAAAACCTACCGTCCATGACTGCCCCCGAGATGAGTTATATTTATTAACTTCATTTTTTTCATTTCCTAAAACATTTATTTTCCTCTCATATTAACCCGGTGACACCAACACAAACGTGGCCGAGTGGACTCCGGAGTTTGCTGCATGAGTTGCACTGTATGATCTGTGGTGTAGTGGGCTGTCACTCAAAAACTGAGTAGCCAATGGGGACGCACCCCTGAAAGTCCCGCCCACCTGGGACGTTTGTCAGAATCTAAAACAAAAATGAAGGAGCGCAAACGAGAAGAGCTGCAGCGAGAGCAAAAGTCTGATCATTGAGAAAGAAGCAAAGAGAACTGCAAACAAAAATATATGTTAAAACAAAGAAAAAAGACTTATAGTTTTCATGATTACACAAATGATTTGTTTGCAACTTATAGTTTCATTTTTTTTAATTAAATGTATTTTTGCTTGACTCAGTTGTTTTTTCTCTTAAACTCTTAGTTTTGCTTGATTCTGAGACAGTGTTGCTTTATCTTTATGACACAAAACTAATCCCATATGATCAGGACTCAATATCTTAGCAAGCGAGTGCTGCAACCCCGCTGAAAGACTTTTAAAAATGTTTGACAAAAGTCCGTTAAACCTCTTATTTGAACCATTTTGGCTGAGGAAAAGAAGCTGCCTCATAATTATGCAAAGCTTTATATAGGGTGTTGATCTCCTTAGGCCATACCCTCCGTCATTGAACAAATACACATCCCCTGATGTGCTTAAATCTAATACGCATTCAAGTTTATACAGCTTGGAGTTGGAAAATATGCACAAAAATTATGGTATGGTCAAAATTCACACTTGCCTAATAATTTGCATACAGTGTACAGGCAACAATTGATACACATGTTCATGAAACAGCAGCTCTATACACAGTTATAATCACATGGACTGACTGGCTAAAACAAACATGTAAAAAGAAGACCTGGTGACACTCACTGTAGCTGCAGCCAGCGCCTCCTTGTCGTAGTACTTTTTCCTCTCGTACTTGTCCCGGATGAAGACCTCCACTGCTCTAAAGGTCAGGGTTAAGGACAGAAATAATGCACAAAAATATCCAAATCTCCATAATGCAGACCGACAGAAACGTACAGTTTGCTAAAATCCTCACTGACATAAATAAAAAAAGTTGTGATTAGGAGTTTGTACATTTGAATTCCTGGAGAAGATTAAATACAAGAAAAAAACTATTGTGAGAGATTTGAGAAACGTCTGTCAGGATTAGGGTGACCAGTGGCCTGTACGACGAATCCAGTTCAACAGACCCTGGATATGTTTGAGTTATCTGGCTTAACTAACCCAAAACAAACGAGATCTCGCTAAGCGGTCCTACGACGCTGGTTATTAACGCAGTAAATCAACCCGGGTTTCTCTGTCCGGCTGAGAGCGTGTTCACGTGCAAGGGGCGGGGTTAGCAACATTTGACCAATCAAAAACATGGACAAGCGTACTGACAGCGCAGCGTCATACTTCATGAATGAAAAGTAAACTATAATATTAGCCAAATATGAAGAAGTTCAACTTTAAACATCCATGACTTAAACACATAATCCAGGATAAAAGCCACATAGTTGCACCTGCAAGGTGAACACAGAACAGCTGGTTAAAAAAAAAAAGTGCAGTGTTTGAATGCGTAGACAGGTTTATGATATCACTGTCTAGACATGAGTGGATCTGACTTTATACACTTGACTCGAGTATTTCGTCAACTTAATGTGTTGTTTTAAATAACACTTCCGCATACAGTATGTGACAATGTAAGTGTTGCACGGCCAGATACGGCTCGAGAAGCTGACACAGATAAGGAAATATGATATATTATGATATTATATGATCGATGATGTGATTGATGATGTGATATGAATGATAAGTGCGACATGTCGGCGTCTTCCCTGCATACGGCAGTTTTTCTGCATTTCCTTTATCCTGTAATATGACTTGATAACTTTAAACTCCCCACACTGAGCTCTGATTGGTCAGCAGGCGGTGCTTTCACTGAGTTTATCTCTTATCTGGAACATAACCTGCTCCGGAGCAGGTTAGATGTTCAGCATAAGTTACCATGGAGATCTACCCCGGTAAGAAGTGAACCAGCGATGTCGGACCGAAAACTCAGTTAACCCTGAAGTACCTCGCTAACCGCAAATCCTGCTTCGTAGTACAGGCCACAGGTGTCCCGCTTTGTGCGGGACTGCACAGCATTTTTATCATTTGTCCCACACATTTAGCCGATGTCCCGCATTTCATTGACAGTCTTAAACAAGGTTTTATACAAAGGTGTGTATAAAACGAGAGGGCTATCATCACCTTTAGCTGTGTCAGATGTCAATCAATCAACAGAGAAATGTATTAACTTATGGGTGTAGCCGGTGGAGGGCGATTCCCAGACAGTTATTGTCAGATTTGCCAGATTATTTTTTAAATTGCGCACGGAGCGACACTTCCCCGAAACTCTCAAGAAAGGCCTGGCTCATTAAGAAAATATCGATCTATGGATATATTCCTCCTGAAACCAAAAGAGATGAGGTAACAGCAGCTGATTTAATTAACGTTTAGCACACAGGTCAGCAGACTGTGGCAGTAAGCTAGCTCCGGTCATTTCTTTATGGATATTTTACAAATCACTCCCCTTTTAAACTGTATTCTTGTTTTATTGTCATATAGTATTTCAGACCTGTTTTTCATTTATTCTCTTGTGTTTTTTTATAACTATAATGATCATATGAAGGTGTGCCTCGGAAATACTTGTTTACATAAATGGTGATCAAACCATTTGAGACCCACTGAGATAACTTAGACTAAGTTAACTAAACCCTCAGAGTCCTTTACCTCACCTGAGCCTCTCAGTCTGACAGGAGAGGACTCTCCCTTCACGTTGTTGTAGAAACAGCTTCTAATATCCGTTAGCTCAACAACAACAATCTCCGGTACCGGTGCTCTCTCTCTCTCTCGCTCGCTCACTCAACAAAATGCGCTCATGCCACACACACAGAGCCGAGCTTGAATGAAACACCCAGAAGTATTTGTACTGTACAGTATCATATCATTTTCGAATCAATCATTTTTCAAAAAAAATAAAATACATACATTCCTTGGGGTTGCTTAGCAGTTGCTAGGCCAAATATTTGTGTTGCTGTAGCAACTGCAAGCTACCGCCTGGCGCCGCCCCCGAAACCAAAGTAAAGCGTTGTTATTAATATTTATAAACTAATAGTTTAATAGAAATGTTCTTCTTAAGGGTTAGATAGACATTATATATACATCTAATCTAGCTCTTAGCAACGCAGTAACATGTCCCGCAAAAACGTCCTATTTGTTTGTTGGCACCTGAGGCCTGTACTACGAAGCTGGTTCAACCTAACCTGGATATGTTTGAGTTAGCCGGTTGGCCCAATCCAAAACATACGCGCTCTGGCTAAGCTGTGCTACGACGCTGGTTATCAAGTGGATCGCTCAAGCCAGCCGTGTCCTATCTAGTTAGGTGCGCGTTCACATGAAAGGGGTGGTATCTGGAGCATTCGACCAATCACAAACATGGACAAGGTACTTCCTGAATGAAAAGTGAACTTTAATATTAGTCAAATATGAAGAAGTTAAACTTTAAACATCCATGACTTAAACACTTTATCCAGGATAAAAGCCACATAGCTGCACCTGCAATGTGAATACAGCTGGTAAAAGAAAAAGTGTTTGAATGCGTACATCAACAGGTTTATGATATCACTGCCCCGTCCAAGACACGAGTGGATCTGACTTTAATTACATTTGACTCGAGTGTTTCGTCAACTTAATGTGTTGCTTAAAATAATACTTCTGCATACAGTATGTGACATTGTGAGTGTTGCACGGCCAGATACGGCTCAAGAAGCTGACTCAGATAAGGAAATATATGATACATTATGATGTGATATGATGTGAATGATAATGGGACACATCGACGTCTGCACTCACAGTGCCGCGGGCTGTACTTAATGTTACTTTGATCCGGTTACTTATGTTGTGGCAGATATTTAAGTAAGCTTTCTTAACGCTAATGTTATAATAGTCAGATTGCTCTGAAGATGGGAGGGGATATTCTATTCATTTTCACGTTCACACAGTCAGTTGATTTTTGCCGGCCGTCTTTCCTGCAACGGCAGTTTTTCTGTATTTCCTCTATCCTGTAATATGACTTGATCGCTTTAAACTCCGCACACGGAGCTCTGATTGGTCAGCAGGCGGTGCTTTCACTGAGTTGATCTCTTAGCCTGCAACCTAACCTCCTCCCGAGGAGGTTAGCCGTTCAGCATATGTTACCATGGAGATCTAGCCCGCTAAAAAGAGAACCAGCGTCGTAGGACCGGAAAGCCCGAGTTTTCCCTGAAGTTAGCCGGCTAAGCGAAAATCCGGCTTCGTAGTACAGGCCTCTGGTCACCCTAGTCATCATATGATGTGTTTTTCCTGCCCCCCCCTCCCCAGCTTTGTCTTGTTCTTGTTATAAGTTCTGAATGTGTATACGTTTTCTGTTAGTGTTTGTTAGATCCTTGTGTGTTGTCATCTGTAAAGTTCTTCCCACATTTGCATTTTGGTCCACCACGCTCCGCCTGCAAGAGACAAGATCTCCAAAACAAAACAAGAGCATCAGTTGTTTGTTTGTTTGTTTGTTTGTTTAGAAAAATGGCTGGATGTAAGTTTCTATCAAAACCCATAAGCTTTCGCTTCCTTAATAATGGTGGCAAAAGATTGGGAAAGGTTCATGTGAAACCTTTTTGTAACAGTGATTTAATGGTTTAATGGATTTGAGAACCTGGCACACAAACCAATTTTTGGCCGTCTGTCAATATGGAGCGATTGGTTGGAGTTATAGACTGTAGCCTCTGTCTAGTTTTAGAAGTGATTCTGCACTGTCTGCACTTTTCGGCCCTGATGTCGGCAAAATAAATCACTCTGATTGGCTGTTCTGATTAAGCAGTACTCATGATAGTGCACTGCAATTTGCCATACAGACGCACTTATGCACTCAAAATAGCAAACGTAAGTAAAGAAGTTCACACATTCAGACACAGCATTACTCTTTATATCTGGATTCCAGCCTGACAGACTTGCACACACACAAATGGCAATTCAAACACACCACTCTTACATTCAGGCACTACATGGAGGCTAATCCCGAGACTCTTATCTGCCTATTTTCAGCAGTAATGCTTCTGTCAGATAGAGTAATAGACTTCAAAAGATTGAAAAATGATGACCAACGGCACGAGCCGAGAGATAGGGCTGGAAGAGGCAGGCTGCTGAGCTGCATCTCAAACACAGAGCATTTATAACTGTTGATTGGAAACAGCAGAACAGATAGGAGGCTACGCTACGGCAGCACAGCACTATAGCCACTGTAGGATGAATGTGAACAAAATCACATGGTGGAGATTTATACAAGCCAGACACTAAATGAAGTATCATTTTCATAGTTAATCTTCACCATATTCTTTTCAATATCTCAACACAAATGTATGGATGTCAGCAATTAAAAGGGAACTGGTTGTAAAAATGCCACTAAGGACATTTGGGTATCTTTGCACGACAAAAATATGAATGAATTTAGATACTCTTTGAGAAACATTCTAGAATTGTTAGAGTACTGGTGCGGTGCTGGTTCCGAACACGCTGATTGCTTGGCCCCTGTAATTGCTTTTTGGAGATTTATTGCAAACTGCGTCTTGAAAAATCCAATACATGATTGTGTTGTTGGTGTTTTTTCTACATGTTAATACTTTTTAAATACTTTTAAAATACTGAAATGGACACGAACTACAGCTTAACAGCTACGATCAAGTAGAAGTGCCACTGTAGGATTTACCTGCCGATAAACAAACAAAAGCTTGAGCACTCGTGAAAAAAATAAAAAGAGAAATTGGAGATTTAAACCCTATTTGCCTTCCGTTGTCTCTCAACACTAGAGTTTGTAGTGCATTACTGAGACATGGCTGAACGGGGATAAACCGGACTCTTTGGTTCCAAACTTAAGAATTCCCCTTGGTGCAAGCCGTCAGAGACAAACAGAGTACCCAGAAGAAAGGGGAGGACTTGCTGTCTTTATTAATAACAGATGCTGTAACCCTGGCCATGTGACTGTAAAGGACCGCATATGTACCCCTGACATAGAGCTGTTGCCTGTGAGTTTCCATACGGGATCAATAGATATCTTATCAATGGGTGAAATTTGATGTGAATCTATAAAAGCAAACCAAAGTCATAGGACAGCTTTGATGTAACATAAACCTTTACATTGATTGGAAGAAAACCACAATCCGTAATTTGAAGCTACGTTGCTATCGTCGCAGTTCTAGCCGTTGCTCGTTCTCCAGACAATTTTTTCTTAGCGGAAGAAAGAAAAGCATATAAGTTAAACTCTATTCCATACTGATGTAGCAAATATGGACAGGGAATCAAACTCAATATTTCATTTGCATACATAGCACAGTAACTAGCAGGGCCTATATGATGTGAGTATGAACACAGAAGCACACTCTGAGGAGGTTGCTCCTCTAATCCTGCCTCTGTTATCTGCTGTTTTCAGCAGATAACAGCGCTGCTGTCGGAACGACTAATGGACTTCAAAAGAGTGAAGAATGATGACCACCCGCCTGCCAATGGGCCTGCCAGATACAACGGAGGCTATTACAGCCGTATTTCAAATAGGGAGATTATTTTTTGTGCAGTCTGCCGGTGGAAAATGAACATATGCTCCTGTGTTAACCACACAGCTGTCTCGTCTTGTATCGAGGAAAAGGGCAAACTGGATAACGCTGTTTCACCGCTGTACGCGCAGATACTGTGAGAGGTGTCCTGATTTAATGTGCTGAATGGCGCTGACTGAGCGGAGCCTGTCAGGTCTTATTTGCTGCTGGAAATGAGCAGAGATGTGCCGAGTTGCTGAATTTTGATGATGACAATGAGTTGGATTTGACAAAGCAATTTCTGTACTGCCTTGACACAGGAAAAGATCCAGTGCAGCAGTGATTTCAGGTAGTATTCCCATTAGCATACTGGTAAGTTCATTATTTATCATTTGGTATTGACTATAGTCTATAGAAGTAGAGGAACTAAGGTCCCTAAAAGTTAAAGTAACCCTAGCTGAGGTAGAACAAAGCCCAACCATGTTTTTTCATTACTTTATTTTGTGTAGTTCTTTAAATGGATGGTTGCATCAAAATATTTTACTGCAAAACTATTATTTTTGGTCGATGTTTGGACTTTCCCATAACCAGAAACAGTGAAAATGTATTATTTTCTAAAAGCAGGAGCCACACAGGAAGGATACTGGTCTGTCTGTGGACGCTTGAAGTTCTCCGGTAGGTGAGCTTCGTACAGCAGCTTTGCCCTTCTGTTGCTCATGTCCACCATACTCTGCAAGGAGAGAAGTACAAGGTTAGAACAGTCCTAATATGCTATCATGTGATGAATGAGACATCTGATTGGCAAGAGACAGTTCCCTGTTGAAAAAGAATGCATTTGTGAATCAAACGATGGGAGTCTAGAAGATCCCACACACAAACGCAGCGAGGTTCATGCACAAAAAGCAGTTATAAAAGCATATAGCATAAAGCATATATATATATATATATATATATATATATATATATATATATATATATATATATATATATATATATATATATAATTGTGAAATTTATTTTTATATAGGTCGATTTTTACATTTATATACAATGATTAATATTTGTGTGTGCACTGAAAACATTTTTTGTGGAGAGAGACATGTCTATATTTAAATCCAGGATTAAATGTGTGAATCCTTCTGTGTGCATTGATTTATTTCTAGACTGATCCGACCCAATAGAGCAGGAGAGTTAAAATGATATATGTGTTGTTAATACTAGTAGGGCAAAAGGTAAAATCCCTTTGAGAACATTTCAAACACAGTACGTTTTTTCATTCATCTCATTTGCATTCGACTCAACTTCCCGCCAACTCCTTTCCATGCACGCTCACACACAGGGTCAGGGACACACTGGCTGCATGTGTGGAGGATAAATTAAGAGGAGGGTGATAAATGGGGCGATGATAGGAGAAGTGGAGGAGACGGAGTCGGAATAATCAGCCATCCAGAATTAATTAGTCATTGAAAACAGCGATTAACATTCAGAGTGAGAGCCTTTCCACTCTCAGTCAGCTGATGGATAGGAACTGCCTTAGCGCTGTGCTCACACACACACACACACACACACACACACACACACACAGAACAACAGGACGTATTAACAACGGAATGATTTAATACATTCCGTTGTTAATACGTCAGGTGACACATAGAGCAGTGCTTCTAAATGATTGTGTAATTAAATCAATGAGACATGCTAGTTACCCACAGAAAACACCTTTACAGAGTAATTACAGTAATCTATATTCCTAAAGCATGGCCGTGTGAGCCCATGTGTGTTGTTAAGCAAGCATGATGAGCATTAGTACTCCAGTACATGATTTTGATGCGAGTATTCATTCAACCTATTGTCCTTATTGTCATGTTCACATAATTATGTATTACATCTTGCGTCCACCAAAATCGATTCAGTTCATGTTGTGTTCGCATTTACACAACCATTGCCATGCTTTGGATAATACAAAGATAAGGCGTAAGTCTGCACCATAAAAGGTCATGCTGCATTGACCACAAGCAGCTCATGTCTTATTTTAACCATGGATTTACAGATAGAAAAAAAACGTCTAAATGGGATTATAATTAGGGCAATCCTTACATCATAACATAATATATAATATAATACACTGTCATCACTATGAGTATGAAGGTAAGAAGAAAGGGAACGTTTTCTGACATAAATAGGGTCAATTTGGTTTTAAGAGTTATACATGCAAAAGGGAATCAATGCATTTTAGTGAGCTGTGTCTTCTGAATTTGCACCAAAAATGCAGTGAAACTTAAAAGTTCAATGGTCAACACACACACCATTCATATTTTTTTTTAACTGGGAATGAGGCAGAAAATGGTGTTGAGAACAAAGAAAATCTTTTTTTTTTTTCTTTTTTTTTTAAATCACAGAGATGCCAAATCTACATTATCACATGCCCTCTGTGTTTGAGAAATTAAGGATAAGGTCGATTCACATGAGGAAGAATCAAATACAACATCCACCATTATTACCGGTACTGTTTTCATCTCGAGTGTCTATGAGTTTACGTAAGCATTTAAAAAGTTCAACATGTTTTCCCGGCTCTATAGGTAGTATATGTTAGGTATTTGGCAGTGATGAAAATGTGCTTATTTATTATCAAGTATTTTGAGTGTTTATTTTATACAAAGACTCTATTGGTTTGTACTTCAATCTCCAGGGAGCCTGAAACTTGACAGGTAAGTTTCTAAAGATGGTCCGAGCATCTCTACGCCCCTGGCCCTCTAGGTACAGATGACTTTAGATCCCCAGGTAACACCAACCCGTGGCAAAAGGGCTTTGGAATGTTTTGTGAGTGTTACCTGGATCTGCTCAGGTGTCCACTGGTCCAGATTGACAGATTTGACTCTGGAGATGTGGACACCCAGGTTGCGATGGATGCCGGCACAGCGGATACACATGAACACGCCGAGGTTCCATGATGCCCATCGAGGACCTGGAATGGGAAAGAAAGGGAAACAGAAAGAAAAAGTGAGATGTGCTTTAAAGATTCAATGTTCAATTTTTTATGTGACGTTCCTGCTGCGTTACACGGACTCACTAGCATTTAGTGAGCTACAGACGAGACTTCCAGCCCAACATTTTCAATTCAGTATTGCAATTGCCTTTTTCATTAAAATCCAATTTATGGGAGTGAAAGAACAGCAGGCCTTGATGAATTCAAACGCGTGTGTGATGAAAAAGCAAACGCTATCTCTTTGAAAATCTTCACCAAACGCAGTCCATCATAAATGTGTTTAGAAATTCAAAAAGTAACCTCCACAAACTGGACAAACTGTTTGACTGACAAGAAATGTTTTAATGGTTTGAAAAAGAATGCACGTGCAGTACACAATCAGAGATGAACAGAAACTCAGGAAGTTAATAGGAAAAAAGAACAAATTCAAAGCAGAGTTTCCGTTAGAATTTTATTTTGCCGGTCAACATGTCCGTTAAAGTTTAAATCTTCCGGACAAAATGAGAAAAGTGCCAGTCAAAGGTCTTCTTTGTTATGTATTGAGCTTTAAAACAAATTGATATGATTCGATATTAAACAAGTAGATTACGGTAACTACATTATTCAAAAGTCTACAAGTAGATTAACTACATTATTCAAAAGTCTACAGTAATTTATAATAACACAGGAATAATAAACGGAGCGCTCTCTCCTGACAGCCCGTCAGTATCCGTCTCATGCAGCTCGCTGATCCAGTAATGAGTGACCCGACAGTAAAACTAAACATATCTATAACTAGTTTAGGTAGTTTGAGAGGTAATTAAAATAGCTAAGTGTGATTTTCTAACCTGAAGTGTGTGTTTTGCTCCGTTCACCGCTGCAGGTGATCATGCAGAGCTGTGTGTCGACTCGTCAGCAGCAGCTGATCTCTCTCTCCCGTCAGATTAGACTTCACTCGCGTTTCTGTCCATATCGATCAGATCTAGCTAATGATATGACTACCTGCTTATTAAAAGACACCTAAACAATAAGCGTCGCTATGCAACCGGGTGAGGCCGCAAAGTATAGCGCAGCATTATGCATTTGTTTACATGCCCACCGGAACCCCGAGGCATTACCAACAGATCAACGCACAATCAACCCATACAGGACATCTCTTTCTCCACATTAAATGTTAGACATTAGAATTGACTATTCTTGTCTGTCACATACTATTCTTGTCTGTCACATACTCTTCTTGTCCGTCACATAAGTGGCGCAACTGATGCTGTATTGTGCTAAGGGGAAATTATTTTGACCTGACATTTTGACCGTAGAGATTTAGATTTGCCGGTCTTCAGCATATTTTACCGGTCAAAGTCAGGTAATTACCGGCTAACGGAAACTCTGATTCAAAGCCTTAAATTACTTTGTGGAAATGTCTAGCTTTAAAAACCTAGTTTAATAGAACGGACATAGGCCTACTTCAGCTAAATGTTATCCTGAGATATTTTGAAGATGTTCTTATCAAAATGCTTGGGAAGTTGTATCCCAAAATCTCTTCAATGCATTTTAAATTGGATTTAACATAAAGGACATTGTGTAGTCTGTGTAATTTAAAGGTCCCCTATTATACTCTTCTTCATCAATATATTATCGGTCTCAGATCTATACAAAACATGTCTCTGAAGTGTTTGGCTCCAAACACCAAACAGATCATTGTAGCATCCCATAATCCCCTCTGTTTCAGCCCTGCTTCAAAAGTGCTGATTCTGTGTCTGTTACTTTAGATGAAAATAAGGAGCCACTCCCCACGCCTCTCTGAGAGATATTTGGTTAAAAAGAACACAATGGTGCTCTAGGAGGAGATCCAGGTGATAAGGTGGGGGGGGTGGGGGTTACCTTGGTTGGTGATTGGCTAATGGTCACACAAGCCAAAAGCTCGTTATGACATCATAAAGTGGCCAAAATTTGATCAGCTCATTTTCAGACAGGTTTTTATATAAATGGATCAGGACAAAGAGAGAGAGAATCTTTTTTCCTGAAACTTTCAGAATCTCTTTACACAGAGGGGACACATGTTTATGTATAGAAGACAAAAAGTGGATTTTCCATAATAGGTGACCTTTAAAGATATCCATTGATTGCAGTTCCTTTGTTAAAGAAAATCATTATATGCATCTGTTATCAGTCACTTTTTAATACAAGACTTGTTCAAACTGAGTTTTTCCTATTGTTTGAGAAGATGAATGTCCGTCTTTAACCTGTTAAACCCCATCCCTGTTTTTCAGGTCTCAGGTTCGAAAATGACATTTCCAGAACAAATGACCATAACTACACTTCTAAAAGGGGAAAATGAATAATCTTTTTTCTCAAAGTAATGATAAACCTGTGAGTTGGATGTAGAACAGTCAGAATCAATATAGATGTTTTTTATTTTAAAGAAAATTCAGATTGAACATAGTAAAAAACTGTAAATTATAGTCAGGGATTCAAACTCATCAGGTATGAAAAAGGTGACAAGGATCCGAGCCCCCCGACCCCACGGAATATCGGCTTTAAAATTAGGAATAACAGAGGATTTTAGCAGTCAGAACAACTAAAGCAGTTAATAATAACAGAAACGCCAAAGACTCACATCTAATAGAAATTTATAAAAGCATTTATTTTAATTGTGTAGCAGTCAGTTTATAATTTTGGCAGCACTGTTGAGCATTTTCAAAATGTATTTTCATGCCTCTGTGCAAGGCTTAGTCTTTATATCTTTATAGCCACTGGTGTAAAGTAACTAAGTTCATAAACTCAACAAGTACTATACTTGGGTACAATTTTGAGATACTTGTACTTTATTTCAATGTTTTGCTACTTTGTTCTTCTTCTCCACTACAGTCAGAGGTAAATGGTGTACTTTGACTCCACTACATGTATTTAATACCTTTAGTTACTTTACAGATGTGGATGAATGATGTGAAATATAATCAAGTGTTAAATCAGACTTTAGTTCCACCTGGAGTAAATTCACAAGCTACCCTGCAGTATACAAAGTCATTCAAACTAGCTGCACCTTTACCAGCTTTGAGAACACTTTCATGATCAATCATTATAAAACATATCATATATATTATTCTGAAATGGACCAATCTGCACAATGACTACTTTTACTGTCGCTACTTTAACTATATTTTGATGAGAATACTTTTCTACTTTTACTTGAGGAACATTTTGAATGCAGGACTTTTACTGTAACAGAGTATTCCTACACTCTGGTACTTCTACTTTTACTCAAGTACAAGACCTGAGTACTTCTACTTTTACTCAAGTACAAGACCTGAGTACTTCTACTTTTACTCTAGTACAAGATCTGATTGCTTCTACTTTTACTCAAGTACAAGATCTGAGTACTTCTACTTTTACTCAAGTACAAGACCTGAGTACTTCTACTTTTACTCAAGTACAAGACCTGAGTACTTCTACTTTTACTCTAGTACAAGATCTGATTGCTTCTACTTTTACTCAAGTACAAGATCTGAGTACTTCTACTTTTACTCTAGTACAAGATCTGATTGCTTCTACTTTTACTCAAGTACAAGATCTGAGTACTTCTACTTTTACTCTAGTACAAGATCTGAGTGCTTCTACTTTTACTCAAGTACAAGATATATACTTATACCACCTCCGTTTATAGCCTATGAAAAAAACTATTTGAAAACGAAGGCTAAAGCTAACGTTAGCAGATAGTGACAATGTATGCTAGTTAGCTAGCTCAACGATTCATTAAATAATATTGCGACAGAAAAACTTTTCAGTGCACATCACGCTCTGCGACTCCGACAGGGAGCTCTGCTCTGAACACCTGAACGGCCCGTTCTAACAGCTGTTCACCAGCGGTCCAGTCTGTGCCACAGTGACTCCGGACCGCACAGTTAATATTAACGAACGCACCGTAGGTAATGTAGCTGCTGAAGCCAGATCCTCATCCCGGAGCAGCAGCAGAGCCTTATTATACATCCATGAGCAGAGCCGACAGGCAGGAAGACTCGAGCACACAGCTCGCGCTTCATTATAATATATAAAAAAAGAACACCATGCGTGTCATGATGGCACATAACAGCTCGCGGCCGCAGATTACTCCGGGTCCCAGACCCCCCCCCCCCCATACCCCAAAAATATTTTTATTGCTATTTGATCTACATGAATCACACAAACGACCTATTTTGGATTCAAAACGGCGAATTTCGCCGAAAGGTGACAAGTTTGCATCCCTGATAGTGTCCGTCCAAAAATTCTTTTTTACTAGTGAAAACCAGTGCTTGAAATGGGCCGGTACTCACCGGTACGCAATACCGGTGAGTACCGGCCCAAATATGCCCAGCGTAGATGCACCTAGATGCGTCATGCGTCATGCGTCATGAGATGCCGCCGGTTGTCGCCGGACAAGGAGCCAACTGCTAATACAGAAATGCTGTGCCTGTGTTAGAAATGTTGTCTGACGGGGAGCCTTCTCTGGTCGAGCCTCCTGCTCCAAGTTCAGTAGCACTAGCTCCCACAGAGCCTTCTCTCCCGTCTCTCATTGATTCCCTCTCTCCTTTCCTGCTGAAAGATGGTGAGTGTACTCAGGGACGAGGAGTCATTTAACCAGCCGCCAGTAGGAGTCAGGCTTTACTTTCTTTTATATCCATAAAGAAAAAGTAAATCTGTTTACAGTTCTGTTTCATATGGATGTTGAGAGGTATCCATATATCTCTTCATTTCGCTCTCAAAGTGCACCAGATTGATGCATTTAACTTCAATATTTAAAAGAAATCTTCCCGGGGGAGCATGCCCCCGGACCCCTCTAGAGGAGGTTAGGTCCACTCCCCACTTATAAAAATAGCACTTTACCACTGCACCCCCTCTAATCTCAGATGCACCCTGAGTCATTTTGTTTAAGTACAGTGATCCTTTCTAAAATATACAGTAAAGAGACAAACCCACCAGCATTATAGGATACTATGTGACTTTGAGCCAAATACTTGTTTTTG